ATTTTTGTCGACTATCATAGAGCTAATGTGAGAAACAACAACAACAGCATTGTAAGACTAAAAGAAAGACTCACCCAGCCGATTTGAGAAAAAGGGGAAATCCGGACTTGGGGTGAATCGGAACCAAGCTTGGCAATTAGCGGTCTACTCGCACCCAAGGAGCGTGCCCATGTACCCTACACGCCTACCCACAGGCAAACTCCAGCCACTTGTGACTGTTGTTGTCGCACATCGCCGAGCAGAGCGAGCGAGAGAACAAACAGAACCAACCCAAGGGTCACTGCGCGCAATGTTGTTGCACATGACCAGCGCTGAAAAAAACGCGTGAGGGGTACACGATGGCCTGTGGGACACGTCCCCGTGGGTTGTCGAACCTCAAATACATGCACGCACCTGCACAGACGAATTAATTCATTCGTGGCTTTCGGTTGACGAGGCTCGATTCTGAATCTCACATGCATGCATACAAACACAGAAATCGGGTGAGGTGGTGAGTAGAACACAGGGAGGGGTTATCTATGCTGGTCAAGAGGACTAGCTCCCCCCATGTGGTACGGCCACGTCAGGGTGGGTCCTACGTAATTTTTGGAAAAGTCGAACATCGAACATCGAACAAGCGGATAGTTCGATGTTCGACTTTATGGGTCCATTGAAATTTGCAAAAAAGCGTGGAAAAAATCCCACACACGCACGTTTTTGCTTTCAACAGCCAGCGGGGTTGTTGGACCACGCCCCGAAAACCCAAGGGCACTCGACTCTCGAAAAAATTCGAGTGTCGAAGAAGACACAGGGACGGCGCCAGGAGGAGGAGCACCAGAAGAAGCAGCCCCACAAGTAAAAACAGCACCGGGGTGATAGTAGCTAACGCTCGAAGCCGCGGGGTGGAACCCCGCGGCATCCCTTGCGGCCTGATGCCCACATGCATTGCTTCGGGACCCTGCCGACTCACACCAACTCACACCAACGCTGCTGCTACTGTTGTTTGGCTGTCCAGCAATCAATGCTGTAAGGTTGCGACGGGAAGGAACCCCGTGTGATTAACCTCACACCTGGCCCCGCTTGTGCACGCGTGGCCCTGGGATCCAGCGCAAAGTCGTCGCTCTGTGCAGACATGGGTATTGCTGTTGTTGCTGTCCTGCAGACCTCTGTCGTTCTCCCTCTCCCCAGGATTATGTTTTTTGGTGGTGTGTGTTGGGTGCACGTGCGTGATGCATGCGTGCGGGTTTTCTTTTTTTCGCCAATTCGGTCCTAATAGTGTGTAAGATTGAACGAAGGGAATCTGGGGTTCGTGGCGCGGGACTGAATCGTACAGTGGCAACAAACAAGAATTAGCGGGGAAGTTTCTGAGGAGGAAAGGGTTACCAGAAGAGAGGTTTTGTTTGTTGTTGTTATTTCTCACATTAGCTCAAAAAAAGAAAGATTGGGAGCCCGTGGTCTCAAAACCCGGCATACACGACCCCACGAAGAAACAGAAAAAAATAGGGTACAAAAA